CCACAACCGTTTTCATGCCCATGGATCCCACAGCTCGATTTATGAATTTGTGTTCTCAAAGCTTATGGCTTGTCTCGGGACGTTGCAGGAGGGCCTCCCGATGCCGGCTTTGCCTCGGATCGCAGACTTGTGGTTTCCCGTGGACGCTTCGTGCAAAACCGCATCCGCTGTTTGAACTTGCCTCAGGAACGCATCGCTCCGTGTGAGAGAAGAATAAATAAGCTTTTCCGTGCTTACCACTCGCAAAATTGGCTTCTTCTCGTCCAATCACCTTAATGCTGTGGCGAGACTGCTGTGGCACCACCATCCACCAAGAGAGTGCCTTCGCCGACGCAAGGAACCCAAAATAACTAGAAGGGCGGGAGAGCGAGGTAAACTTTTCTAGCCAGTGAGCCCACGTGTGGCCGCGCGGCTAGACCAGTCTGCGACAACTCACATCCTGTGTTCCTGTACGACCGCTAGTAGACTAGGTATTATACCCCGGCTTATACACCGGTCTTACACGCCATCCATGGGCGAAGGCGCAGGATCTCGATCCGATCCTGGCCATGCATACGTCTCGCCAATTATTACCACGTCAGTCTACGGTATCACGCGACGAGCAATACATTTACCTGTACTGAACCCGATTGCCATACGTCGTCCTGCATCCAGACGCCTCCCCTGCGCACTACGCCTACGCACACATCTTCGGCCGATCGTACGACTACCGTCCCGCAACCGTTACGCCTCGAGGGCGCCTCCCATGAAAAGGAACGGCAGGCGCTGCGTCGCGACGTGACATGGCCGCTTCATCTCACGCGTTTCACACCTTCCCCATCCCGCAAATAGAGGTCAATTAGGTAATCGGAAGCAGGCCTGCTGTTGCTGCCAAGGCGACCATTTCCCCTGGACGACGCTCGCACCAGCGCCCATCGGTCGCGCTGATGCCACCGCTAATTTCAATCCCGCCTCCCACGGTCATCGGTGTGGCTAGGCGGCATGGGCGGCCTGCTGCTCAACGGCGTTTCGAGAAGCAGCTGGCAGGGAAAAGGAGGGAGATCGCGATGGGGCCGGTGCGTTGCCGAGCGTTGCCCCGGTGCGGTGTTCCCGCCTGCAGGGCAGGGTTTGTGTGCAGATGCAGCCAGGTCACGATCTGCTTTGGGAGGCCTGCAGCAGAGCGACGCCAACACGGAAGCGTGCGTGGATCAGCATAGGTACGAGCGAGACCCAAGGTGATCCTTCTCTTCTGCGACTTTACCCCTGCGGAATCCGGCGCACGCTTCTCCTGCCGATCGCCGAAAGGGAGCGTGATGTTCAGGTTCAGCGGTGCGCGCTTTCGGCAATGGACGCCTGCGGTTGGCTGCTCGGAAGGCGCCTCCGGGTGAATGGATGGGTTTGTCTGGGGTATGCCGTTGTGATGGTGTCTCGGCCAACGCGGCGGGATGGGAATTGTCATTCTCGACTTGACTGACGCTGGGAGGCGGTCCTCGTGTGCCTGGCCTGCCCTGCCTGGCAAAGAGAGAGCATCTTTACCCGAGCTGAAATGCAGGCCTGCGTGCCGATCCGGGCCGAGACTGGGACAATTTCTCGAGTGAAAACCAGGAAATCGTATGTTCGCAGGAAGCAAATCTCGGGGTATACTCGCAGGAGAGGAAGATCTTACGAGATTTTTGCGATGACCGGGACGGTCGGAATGGTAGGTCTGTAGGTCGGCTTTGAGAGCTGCACGTCGCGCTTCATAACTTGCGCGGAGGATATATTTCATAGTGACGTGCAAGCGGCACAGCAGGTAGGTAGGTCTTCAACTGGAGCACGTTGAAGCCCCGCCCTCATACACATCAACGACGTCGATTATATACATCCGTCGTAAGTAAGTCATGTGGAACACTCGGCAGACAGTTCACATGCGCAACGTAACGCCTTGTTCGAAGCCAGTGATACAGTATTTTGCTCCAATAGTCTCACACGACCCGAGCAGTGACTGTCCTTATATACCGTCTTGTATAACTTTGTACATGCCCATCTTAGAAGGCTAAGGATTCTCCTTTTCTGCCAACCAGGCCGCGTCGTAGCAGCTTGTTTCCGACTCCGTAAGGTCACAGGCGAGAGCGCGTACGCTTGTTTCTACTCGATTCTGTGGAAAGTGAAAGGAGAAACACGTAAGAGCGGAACGCGCATGTGCGTTGACTGTTCACATCTACCGTCTTCTATATAATTTGCTTGTACGTGCACATCTTAGAAGGTCAGGGCTATGACTCTTTTCTCCGTAAGTCAGTCGCAACATCAAATTTGCAACTCTGTATGGTCAAATGCGCTCTTGCCTACGCTTGTGTCTACTAGATTCTGCAGAAGGGGGAAAGACGTAGGATAGTGTGATGTGTATGTAGTCGTTGGGTCGCAGTGCTGGTCTGTTGGTGTTCTGCTTGAATGTTGCTGAGCGGATGGGAAGCGGTGTACGCGGGGCGAGGTGATGAGGACGAAAGAGCTTGGGAATGGGTGTGATGGAGGATAGAATCGGGAATCGACTCCAGTGCGGCATTTGCAGATACTTGAGGACTGGTGTGAGAAGACAGCTTGATAGGCTCATGCTTTACCACCTTTGCGAACGTGAGTGATATCTCATATCCCTAGCATCTTTCATCATCTTTCGGCGTCTCCAGACATTGGGCAGTAATCTGCGTTTGTAACTCACTTGATGCCGCAGTGCACACGGACGGACGGGAATACAAAGGAACTCTGATAGCGTGTAGCTTCATGTTCGTCAACTCAAGGTTTTCAAGAAAGCTCTTGCGCTACCTTGTCATGAGTACGGTTTTCAGTTTTCGATCGCAAGAAATCGCCTTGAAGTTCAATCAAGCTGCACCTTCTTGGTTCTATCGCACGCTTCCCACCTGGGCAATCACTCCTCCACGGACTCAATCATACCTTGACGTCATAAGAGTGCTATGTTCGTCGTTCGCTTCTGTCGTTTGCTCACGGTGTCCCGCTCGAATCTAGTGCCTTAGGTTGGATATATGAAGCCCTCGAACTCTGCTCTTGATCACATATTACCTCCCCACTTATCTCACACATCGCCACCACCTAATTGTAGACTACATCACCCATCTTCGTTCTCCGAAGTTACTACTGGAACAGAACGTCCATACCAACACACTCATTATGGGCGGCAAAGTGTCTACCTGCATAGCCTCGTGCCTCGTCATGATCCTCTGGCCCATCTGCTTCAAGTGCCCCGAGGCTCCGCACCACCATGGCAGCATCAACTTCGACGAGCTCCCCGCGGTGGACATTTCCACGTAAGAACCGATCCCAGCCTCCCCGAACACACTGACTCAGAGTTCGTAGCGTTCAGGACATTTGGCACAACCTCCTCACCGTGTCTACCGCTTCCGTTCTGTGTGCCGACCTCCAAGGCGACTTCCTAGCGTACGACAATTGCGCCTTCGATTTCTTGAGGGTGGACCCGGGCCTTATTGACCACGTTGATGGGTTGAACTCGACGGGGGACTTGTGCGGTGTGCTTCAGGGCGAATGGCAGGGTACGTATCATAGTCGCCGAACACGCGGTGAAGATACTTTAGCTGACTTACAGAAGGCACCGTTTGCACGGTCAACCTCAAGGACGCGGGTACTGCTCCTGTGCACGACAAGCAGGTCGCTTGCGGCGAGCTCAAGGGCGAGTGGAAGGACGACAAGTGCGTTATTCACGCGCTGGAGAAGTAGGTGCCTGGTTCGTTGCTCGCGGCCTCCTGGTAGGTCTGGCGAGTGAGTATCGGCGTGGATATGGGGCGTCTGCGTGGGAAGATGTGGACTCCAGGTACATTGGCATGGATGAATACATGCGGGATCTACTGCGCTATAATGGACTTTAGAGGGTCTATCTCGTAGAGTGATCACATATGGTATACACTTAGTGAATCTCATTAATCTGCTTCGAGTGTGCGGGCGATTGTCTGCGTGAACAAACCGAGTTCTAATTAAAACTGTTGATACCCTTGCCTAACGTTTAGGAACGCATGGTTGACGATACAGGTTCCTTTGGGAAGTTGGCAGACGATTATACGCGTTTGTTTGCCTCTCGTTCGTTAGACTTACTCGCACGCAAACGCTTGGTACCATCTTGACACGCTGTCCAATGGTCTTGTCGAGCAGCAGGGCCCGAGTGGTGTGCAGCTGGCTGGCGTTGGAGTCGGTGAGTCTGCAACGGACCCTATGACTTACCCAGACGGCGTTGGTGGAGCTGATCGCGCCACAGAGGGAGACGTGGATGGGCATACTGCTGATGACTGGGACGAAGCGGACAACGGGAATGTTTGAACAAGCTTCCTGTTAGCGGTATAAAGGTGACTTTTGTTCTCGACTTGCAAATGACACATTCGTCCTGAGCTGGTGGGTTGTTGATGGTACTACGCATCGCTCCTCGTTCGAATCGTTCTTCAGGTTCGCTGGTTACAAGGCATGGGAGTCGTGACGTGGTAAGTAGAACTTGCGGGCTCTATGGTAAGAATCTTTTGAGGTGGTTCTCGGAGGTATTAGAACCCTATTTTTGTTGGCTGTGAAGCCTGGGATGGCTCGCCTTGGATGCCGGCTGAAGGGATGTCTCTTGCTTGATCCTACTTCCGGTACTCCTTCCTCGTCTCCTATTTCCATAATGCTCGCGAACTCCGAGTACTGCCCTCGTACTCGTATTTTTGCGTCATCATTGACAATGCCCACATATTGGAAGCCACGCCTAGACTGCTATATTAGATCCGCAGCACACGTGGAATAGATTACCAACCCTCAAAAGCGAATGCCCTGATATTACGCAAGCGAGCGAAGAACCATAAACACGCTCAGCTCGACTTATTGACCTAGATGAGCATTAGCCGTCGATCAAGTGCCGATTCGGTACTTGTAGATCCGTGTACCTGATAGTATCGCACCTAGCCATGTATAACAGGATATAAGTATGCCGACCAGGAACATTCTGTACTACTCAGGGCCACCACGTATTGCAACAGACCAGTTTGGCAACCATGCAGCTCCGATCCACAGTGACTGTGCTCCTCCTGGGCGCACTGTCGCACGCCCTCGCCCATGCAGCTCCTGCTCCTGCTCTTCCCCCAACACCCGACCTCACACCAGCAGCAAAAGCCCCCAACATCTACCTCACACCAGCAGCAAAAGCCCCCAACATCTACCTCACAACCTGCATCCCCAAACCCCGGGGCACAGACGGCAAGCCCGCTCCCGTCGCAAACTTCACCGCCATAGCGTACTTCCGCCAACCGCTCAACATGACGACCGTCGACGCAGACACCAAGGCGCCCAAGCCCGACAAAGCGGCGCTAGTAGCGCAGCCGGCTGAGCCGTGGGAGGGCGTCAGGTGGAAAGTCAAGGTGTGGAATGAGAAGCTGTTTTCGGCGTCGATTGTGGCGGATGCGGCGAAGGGGGCGTTGGCTGGAGAGGGGCAGTTGGGGGAGGAAGAGTATGTGTGCTTTAGAGATGGGGAAACGGGGATTAGGATGAGGGAGGATGGTGTGAGGGGGATTGCGTTGCGGATTATTGGTGCGCTGGGGTGGAGGGTGGGAAGGGGATGAGGGCGTTGAGGTGCGTAGGTGGGCATATGCGTAGGTGGGCATATGCGTAGGTGGGCATATGGCGGGATTTGGAGGTAGCTTGGGGGGACTCACAATCGGATACAGTTTCACTTTGGTGTTCTGGACGTGTAGCCTCGTACATAATGAAATGGGCTTTGGTTGTCACCCTTCACTTTAGTAGATTCACTGGTGTCGAAACGTCGTAATCTTGAACAAGTGCTGCGGGTTAGACTATCTTAGGCGCCTGTACCTAGTGTAAGCTAGATATGTGTGCTTGCACTCAGTGATCACGTGACTGAGAAGTAAGCGTACCTCAAGTGCTGTAACCTGTCGCCATGCTTCCCTGTCTCCATTTTCGCGTGCTATGCACGGAGGATAACATACTGGCTTTGAACACCTCAAGTCGTTCGGAAAACCGCGCACTGACCGTTCCTCGTGAATGACAAGCGACTACTTCAGAGCTACGATCTTCTTTCCCAATACGTCATAGTCACAAGACGTTGAGGGAACATGGACCTGCGATTTGCGCGCGCGCTCTTGCAGGGATTATCGCAACGCGTGTCGCGGTCACACAAACTGCATGCCACCACTTCCAAACACGACTCGACGTCGCTGCGTTTCCTGAACGAAGAGAATGAACAGCACAATCGGTGTTCGGGATATTGGACCGGAGTTAATGATGACACAGTAGGTGCCTGATTCGTCGAGGCGCAGAATGCACAGTGTGGCCTCTTTGTCAGCGCAAACGCTAAACGCGATAGGTATAGCATGCGCCCTTGAAAGATCATGGAGTCAGCGCTTGATCTCGAAGGCAGCAACAATTGACAAGCCAAGTCGACACCCAGCGCACCCAGATCGCCTCGTTGTGCCTGACTTCCATTATTAATCGACCGTGTCTTGGATACGCCTTCTTCGCTTACCTACAACACCGCCTGCTGGCCCGGCGACCCCACTATAGTAGCTTCAAACGACGGGCCACTGGCGCAGAGTCTTGATCGCGGTTGCCAGGAGCAGCACTATCTGCACTCCTCGGAAGAGCATCGTGGCAGAGAAGGCCGAGTTCGCCCTTTCACGTTCCCGGTGTCGACCAGCTGTTCGCATTGATGTAAGCGTGTAGCTGGTCGCACACTTTTGTGGATCCTAGTCCTGCATCTGGAGACCCGTAAGCCTATCGAGAAGGCGGTGACTATCAAAGAAATGTCGCCAACTGCAGCGGATGCAGGTGTGAAGAAGAGCAGCGATGTACAACTTAACCGAGCATGCGAAGCTTGCCGAGTATCGAAAGTGCGTTGCTTGGTGAATCCAAATGGAAATTCATCACAATGCGAGCGATGCGCAAAAGCAGGACGCCAGTGTATTTTCGCTCCTCCAGCGAAACGGCGACAGAGAAAAAGGACTGATGTGCGTGTGGCCGAGCTGGAAAAGGAACTGAAGCATCGTAAGTTGATTGAACGACCCTAATCTGTGTTGGCGATACCTGCGTATTGATTGTGCGACTAGTCACTTCTCTGCTGAAACCCAACTCAACAATCTCACCCGTCGAGGAAGACGATCATGATGAGTCCATGGAGGAAGACGAGCCCGAGCCCGAGCCTACCGAAACTCCGGAAAGGAAATTCTCAGGGTATGCGCCGAGTCAAGATAGTTCCACCACCAAGGAACCGCTAAAATCCCATGAACCATGGCCGCCACGTCTAAATGTCACTAGGAACGAGGCACGGCACGACTTGTTGACTACGGACAACGACATAATTGACCGCGGTGTCATTTCCATAGATCTTGCAGAAAATTTACTCAAACTTTACCGAGAAGAGCTCTTCGAGGATTACCCAGGTATTAAGATTGGAAAAGAAGTCACAGCAGATGAATTGAGGTCAAAAAAGCCAGCCCTCTTTCACGCAGTCATGGCTGCAGCCAGTCAGAGTTTGGGCTCAACTTTATCCAACAAACTCCACGAAGAGCTGATTTACTTCTATGCAAGATCACTGTTCGTTAATGGAGAGAAATCATTACAACACGTCCAGGCACTCTTTGTATCGGTCGCATATTATACGCCTCCAAATAATCCCGGACAGATGCAAATATATCAGTATACGAACCTTGCGGCGAGCATGGCTTTGGAGCTTGGTCTGGCCTCGAAGCCGAGGACACACGAGCAGCTACCAAAGCGAGCGATCAGGTCATTACAGCGCATTTCGTCTGCTGACGAGCTTCTGGAACATTGCCGAACAATTTTATCGCTGTATACAATCATAGCCGGGTAAGTGACCGCATCTACACACACTCATCAACCGGTATCTAACTCATCGTTAGCTTATCGATGAGGTTTCGAAGACCAAACATCTTGCTGTTCAATGCGTGGATGGGCGAGTGTGAAGCGTTACTTCTCAAAAGTCAAACAATTCAGGACAAGACCTTGATCGCATGGCTGAGACTGCAACGCATTGCGGACGAAGCGTACACAGCTTTTGGTTTTGACGATGCCTCCACTAGCTTCTCACTATCAGAATTGCGCCTGCAAGCCATCCTGAAGATCTTTGAACGGCGGATGCAGGAGTGGAAGAAGGGTGTGCCTGACGAAGTCATGACGAGTAAGTTGTTATCTCTTTCTGGCCTACTGAGCATTCTGACCATATATTAGTGACTTTACGGATGGAATACCATCAAAACATGATGTCGATGTGGGAATTCGCCATGGATGGCGGCAGTAAGTTTTGCATTCTTTGACTGGCTAAATCTGTTTGACAATATTCTAACATCTCGTAGAATATGACGCTCCAGAATTCAGGAATCGGCACATGACTCTTCCAGCCCTGGATGAAGACGCCTGCATCCAGCCAGAGAGCCTCCTCTCCCGCTCCTCTCTGCAGACCAACGCAACTATCATGTGTATAAGCGCCGCGCACTCCATCCTGGACTGCTTCCTCCAGGTGCCCATCCCAAAGCTGCAAAGGTCTGCGGGCGTGCTTTTCGTCCGGGCGTGCTTCGCTCTCGTTGCCCTTCTCAAAGTGGACTACGCCGTCGGCACGGATGCCGAAGGCATGGGCGAAGTCATCGATTCCAAGAGTCTCAAAATAGACTACTATCTCGATTCCGTGATCAGGCAGACAACGGAAGCTGAAGGGCTGCAGAAGTGCAGAATCCCAGGCCATTGGCGGTTCGTCATCAAAGAGAAGCTCAAGACATGGCACGACGAACATCAAGAGTGGCGCCGCAACGGCGGCCACCTAAAGCGCAACAAGAAAGCGCAAGCTATGCTCGACGCAACAAACACATCGAGCGCATCCTCCGATATCCTCCCTCCTCCAGCATACACATCCCAAGCCCAGCAATTACCAAACCCAAGTCCCCTCACGACGAACTCTACCCTCCCAGAACCACAGCCCCCACGCACCACACCAAATCTAGACTACGTCCTCAGCGGCAGCCAAATGAACGCGTGGCAACCCTCCGCCTTCCGCTTCCCCGTCTCGACTACCGCAGGGACACCCGGGCTCGGCGACGCGGTCTACACAGGTCCGGATATGACCGACTTCTCGGCGGCGTTTCAGAACGGCGACTTGTACCTTTGGGACGACATCAATGATAACTATGGGGGGTGGATGCCGCAGGGGGGAGGGTTCAGCGATGTGCCGTTTAATGGGATGAATTTTTAGATTCACGATATGATATCATGAGGAGGGAATATGTATAGTATAGTATACGAAATGTAGAATAGCAACTAACTCACATCACATCACGCTAATTCACTCCAATCTTTGGGAACTGTAAGCCGTTGCGCAGCCGTATTAATGTGCTAGAAACTCAGGGTTTGTGGATATGTCGTGAGATCTTATATTTGAAGTAGTGTGCACAGGGTAAGATGGGTCTGTCTCCATGCTTCAGCGTTGTCTTCCTTGCATTGTGGGATGTTGAAGTGCAGTTGGCGTAGTTTTGATGTTCTTGCGTGTAGTAAGGTGGTAGAGGGGTTATGTAGGGCGGTAGATAGGCCATGTAAGATGGGATTCGGCAAAATTCTATCGAAGTACGGGCAGGAGTCTTAGGTGCCTACTGCTGCCCAATCTGAGCCTCATGCATGTAACTCATGCATGTAATGGCTGTGTAAGAGGTAGAGGGATGAAGGCGGGCAGTGTATTTCATTAAAGAAGGAACGAAACCCATGTAGGACGTAGACAAAAGAAGAAAGTCAGTGTCCCGCCAGAAGATGTGGGAGCAAACACGCCAATGCCAAAAGCAGTTAGAGCCATGCATCCCACCTTCGCCCAGTTACACAGGCGCGACCGCTCACCTTTTGCCGTCAACCGAATGCCACAGCCCCTGCTGACAATAGCATGCGACTAATCGATGTCGACACACTCGAGATCAAGACCTTCAGCGAGCAAGATGTCCCGCAGTATGCAATCTTATCGCACACGTGGGGGCCAGATGAGGTCACATTCCAAGAAATGTCTCTGATCACGCGCATGCGCTCCACATCTCAAGTCTTCAGCAGTCAAAGATCAGACTATTCTGAGGATGGTGACGTTGACAAGGTCTATGACTCTGGCGCGATAATGGTAGCTATGGAGATGCTCGTGCAGGGTGGTTGGGGTGTCGGAATGAACGTTCCAAATACAACCGAAGATGCATTAATGAGGAGAGAGGGCTATCGCAAGATCACCCAATCAGCTAGGGAAGCGAAGCACTTAGGATACCAATGGGTCTGGATAGATGTTTGTCTACCTCCACTCGAGAAGCAAGACTTATGTCGAAGCTAACAAGAACTCTCGCAGACATGCTGCATCGACAAGACTTCGAGTGCAGAGCTCCAAGAGTCCATCAACTCTATGTACAAGTGGTATAAAGAGTCGGCAGTATGTCTGGTCTTTCTAAATGACATTGCGCCGGATGTTGCAGCAACCATAGATACACAAGCGACTTTTGAAGCGGCAAGCAATGCGTTCACGAACTCCCGGTGGATTACCAGAGGTTGGACTCTTCAAGAGCTTGTTGCCCCCACATCTGTACGATTTTACTACCAGGATTGGACACTCATGGGAGACAAGCGCGAGTTTCTTGAGGAGCTCTCCGATGCGACCGGTATACCAATCTTCGTTCTCGAAAATGGCGAGCTAAGCGAGCTTTCTCTGGCTGAACGAATGTCGTGGGCTTGTTACAGACAAACAACAAGGATAGAGGATATGGCATATTGTCTTCTAGGCATTTTCGACATCCAGATGCCGCTCCTTTACGGGGAGGGAGAGAAAGCCTTCATCCGCCTTCAGGAAGAGATCCTCAAAACAACGGACGACTATACGCTCTTCGCCTGGCGAGCCGTTGGTCCAGAATCCCCTTCAGCCCCAAAGTCTACCTATAGGGGTCTACTTGCACGCTCACCTCTCGAGTTTCGTGATTGTCGTTCTGTGGAGCGCGAGAATACAACGAGCACATTCCCTATGAGCGCGACTGCTATAGGGCTCCACCTCGAATTGGAGTTTCTGAACGATCCAAAAGATAGAACCCGGTTTCTAGCTCTGATTCGGTGTAGTAATTCTCTGAATCAGCGTCTTGCTATATATCTGAAATGTCTGGACGGCGGCCACCAGTACGCCCGTGTCGAAGCAGGCTCGCTGGTCCCAATTGACAATTGGCCCACGGGCCAGCCCCGCTCCATCTACGTAAAACAGAAGCTATGCATCCCACGGGACTTCTACGCTGTGGAGATGCGTTGCATTCGCGTACAGCGCCGCTTCGACAATCACTCCATTCCACCAACAGTCAAGATATCCTCCATCTTTCCGCCCTCGGCTTGGAACCCGCAGACTCATGAGCTTGCCATACCTTCGACTACTCTCGAATTCTTTGCCGTTCTCTTCCTACGCGCACAGTCATCGCCCTATGGTTCGTCTACCATTTTCCAGGTCATTGTTGGGTTCAATCGAAGGAGCAAGCACTACTGGTGCAAAGCGATACAGCGCAAATGGCCGGAAGTGAACGTGGATCCGTTGCGGTGGCACGCAGCGATCAAGAAAGCGCTGCCGATGGAGATCAACGATCCATTACTGAAGGGCGATGTGAGGCATGATATCTTTGTTGTCGCAGAGAGCGGGATGGGGATCAACGTTGAGGTGGGAGCGGGCTTGAGTGGGGACCACATAGCATTGCAGCTTCTTATCGATGGGCTTGTGAAGGGGCCGTGACTGGGATCATGCAGCAATGTGTCTTCGGTATCATGTACCTCGGGTACTGATAGGAAAACTTCCACAGGCTGTCGATGGAGCTATGCATGGTAGTAAGGAAGTTTGTCTGGTGGCTAAACCTCTTCAGGAGACCGCACCTGCGTCCGTAGTACAAAGTCCCGACAACGTGGATGTGACCGGTTCAATAACTTGGCATGGGGGCGTAAATGCCCCATTCTTAATATCTAGAAGGCCTGGCCCCAATTTTCCGTTTGCATTGTCTACCTTCTTTGCCTCGCATGCCATTCGCTTCGATTGCTCGCTCACTCATTCCCACGCCCTCTGAAAAGACAACCGCGGCGCCGGCGTCGTCACATATCCTCTCCTTACTCCCACTTTCTGGAATTTTCAGTCGCGCGCTATGATTGCTGCTATCACATTGAGTCTCCTCATCATTTGGTCTGCCTTGTCCCTACAGGCCAACGAAAGGAAAGAAAAGACGACTGGCTTGCCACTACTCATACGATGGGTTGCACGTACAAACCCGTTCTGTATGATGTTCGGTAGCTCTTTCGTGCTCAGATGCCGCGCCTGGGGCATAGGTACCAAGTTTTTCCAGCGCTTCTATGTCTTCGGGCGGGAGGCCAACGAACGCCACACTGTTCACCAAGAACTAGGTCCTGCGTTCATGTTGGTCTCACCAGCAGGCAAATGGCTTTGTGCCAGTGATGCGTCAATCTTCACTGAGACTATCATCGCCGTACTGACTTCCGACGTGATATGGAACAGTTCGCAGTGCTGAATGTGTATAGCAAGAATCTATCAGCAACCGACGATGATGAGTAGGGTTTTATACTGACTAAACACTTGCGCGTCCTAAAACGGTATTAATAGGAGTGAAATCACGGCTCATCGAGAAGCTTCGTACCATTATAATCCAGGATCGTGCATTGAACACTTTTCCAATATATCTTCGAGGATATTGCAATGGTCAGAATGGAATAATCATTCCCGGGAGATACGCCTTCGTGATTTATCTCCAATTTAGTAATATTAAGATTGCCGTGGTGTATCAATGTAGTAGGCATTCTGCAACTCACGCCGAGAAGTCTGAGTCTGTACCTAAAGGCCTTAATCTTATCAATCTCCAGCCAACTTCGCATGCTACTCTCCAGATTCATGCCCTCTGCCGACCAAAAAGTTATCTAAACAATTCAAGGATGGTAGTCGGATTTCTCCAGAGCAACAAGGCCCCTCACGCGAAACTACCAACAGTGGATCGCTTGCGCTTCCCTCAATGCGTTGCAGTCGACATAATACGTCAGCGATAATCGCGGTTCCTCTGCTGTTGTTGGGTGGTAACTGCCGCTGTTGGGTGGTAATTGCTGCTTTCTCTACGTGGTTCTCAAGTGGAGGAAGGAACCATGAAGACCAAGGAAGTAACAAGTAACAACATGATGATGCAATAAAAAGCCTACACTCCCTCCATTCTTCAAACCTTCAGAGCACCGCCGAGCAGCAGCAACAGCAGCAACAGCAGCAACAGCAGCAACAGCGGCACCAACAACAGCAACAACAGCAACAACAAGCCCCCCCCACCAACACCACGACCAGCATGCCGTCGTGGACGGCCATCCTCGGGGCCGTCGCCACCCTCGTCACCCTCGCCCTGCTCGCCGCCACGTTCGTGGTGACTACCTGGTACGCCAGGACAGCGCGGCTGGAGTATGAGCTTCGGGTTAGTTCTTCCTGTCTTGCCATTTATGCATTGCTTTTAGCCCAAGATTCGAGCCTTACTTTTGTGCTGTGGTTTGTGCTTGTCAGTCGCAAGATCTGTTGAGTTCGAAAACGATGATAATGGAGACGCTTTCACTTGTATTACCTCTAACGTTTTGCCAGCTCCAAGACCGGGAGAGGCCTCCCCGGACGCTCCGCTCCACCTCCCGCTCCGCCCTCGCCCTCCGCCGTCGCCCCGGCCCGCACCTTGCCAGCCTCCGCCTCCGACGCCCCCTCTGCCCCCTCTGCCCCCGCCGCCTCCGCCTCCGCCTCCGCCTCCGCCCTCACGCCCGCCCCGCCGCCGCCTCCACGGCCCTTGGGGCCCCTAGCGAGGCCCGCCCGCGGATCCCGTCCAACCTCCCCCCTGTGGGTTGATAGCCCGCAATAGCCGATGGAAAACGGGAAAACCCGGGGAGACGACCCCCGTCATCAAAGACTCCCTTGGGAGGACCGGTACGTTGGCGAACGTCCAGGGGCTGCCGTTACTCAGGCTCTAAACCCGGTCACCCGTTAGAGGTCGAACCAAAGAAGGTACAATACCTGTTCCATCGGGCATGAAGGGACACTGACGAGATGCAGACTCAACATCGCAGATCCTCAATCTCTTTCTAGACTCACAATGTTTCGCCTTTCTCTTAGTCTTGTTCGACTCGACTCGTATGGATCATGGATGACGACGCTTGTTTTCAAGGCTCTCAACCCTCTGGCCAGATCCATGTACCCATCACTCAGCGGCCAGCAGCACGTTACTCCTGGTACCAACGACTCCTCCTGCAGTTCTTTTGAAGTACACAGCTCTTCTAATCCCTTCCTTTTTTGGAACGCTGCGACGTAATCTTCCAACACGAGGTTCACCTTCTTTTCCAGCTCCAAGCTTTGAAGGAGCAAAGAATGCGATGCTATTGTATCACCCAGGTCCGTCGCATGGGGCGATGTTGTCCAATGATCGAGCAGCGTGCTTTCTGGCCTACGGCAATCTTGACCACGCTTGAATCTGCCCAGGATTTCCAGGACGAAATCCAGGTTCAGATGGAATTTTTGAACAGGCTCCAACACCATCTTTCTCACAAGATATTTGTCCCTCGGATGAATCAAGAGCCAGCGACTCCGGGCCATCTCCCTCTCGAGGTTTTGAACAAGAGCACATATCTCTGCCATTAGTGCGCTACCTTCCTTGTTCGAAATCGTGGACGGATCAAATGCCACAACTGGAGCCCAGTCAGGATCAGTCTTCGCCAAGGCCGTTTGGAGGCTCCGGACGTCTGTGCTGAAGGTGACAGCCAATATTTCGACGAGAGCCCAGTGAAGTTTGACGTAACGGGTGAGGCTTGTTTTTTTTGCGTATTTGGCCAGAACAGGGTAAGGATTGTTTCTGTCGGACAAAGCATCTTCGTTACGATCCTGTGAAGGCCATTCGGTATATGGAGGTGGGGTGTTAGGAATCGTTTCTCCTTTTTTCTCTTGTACAGTCTCCTCAGATATATCCACGCTTTTTTTCTTTTGCTTTGATCCTTGCCATAATTGCTTCAATCTTTGAGAATGAGCCATTGTTGGTCTTTTCTTGTTTGCCAGCTCTAGACTTGGATCCGCGTTCGATTCAAAATTCAGCAGTAAGTATTTGTATGTGAGCTAGCAAGCATACGGGACAGCTTAAAAAGTCTTCCTATGCACAGTTAACCAGGTATGCGATCGACCAGTCTTCTTCGTGGACCAAAGTTGGCTATCTGTCGGATTGACTGGCCCGCGTGCGAACCTGTGGAAGTTCGATTCGAGGGTGCAATTCAGTAAAGCGGTGGCTGATGCTGGCGGCCTATCGAGGGTAGGCTGGAAACTAGAGTTCGCGAGTAGAGGAGACTGACTTGGGTCGACACTGATTCTTATATAGGCGCTCCTTTCATTCTGTATTTGGTACCGTGGAAATGTTGGGCAGTCGATTATCGGTGCGCTACTCACTTGTTGAGGGGTAAGGTAACTGCACCATGGTTCATGAAAATCGCAGCGCAGCGCAGACCGAGCTAAACCGTGGGCGGATCAAAGCAGCAACTGACAATCAATCGAACCAACGATGAAGGCGTCAAATCAACAGACGTGCAGGCTTCTCCTTCCCAGGAGATGTCCGTGGGCCACGCAGTTTTCTGCCTGGGTAAAAAGCTGACATGTTTCTTTCGTGATTTGGTTCCGTGGTTGATGGTCTTGTGTGCATGGTATAGCCGGTATAGCTGCAATGGAAACAATCGACTTCATCATCTGTCCTTTCTCCTTGTGTGCCATCTTCTCGTTCTAGTACCATTGCGATAACCGTTCTGAATTTGAATGCTAACAAAGGCGGAACGTCATAACCAGGTCAGTGAGGTTATGCGCTCAAATTTCGCTCGTACAACGCATCACTGCGCAAACGCTCTGCGTGCACGTGGAAAGCAGGAGATGCAGTGTGCATCAGGCGCGAAGGCATCATCGCGCGAAAGTAGACAGGAGGCGCTTCCACTTTTTTTCGCGTTAAAAATGTTATCTTTACAAAAGAAGAGACATAGTGGTAGCTAGTAAACGCAGTCTTGTGCCTAAAGGAGAGAAGTTTGCTCGGAGCGAGGGGAACGGTAGTTGAATGATAGAAGCGCGCCAACGCTCCGGAGTCCCCGCTTGATGCGACTTTCCCTGTCTAAAGGTTATCGATAACGCTAGTGCAGTACCCTCACAGAGTCCGTTTTTTCAAGTTTGGAAAGCGAAAGACCTTTTTCCAAAGTTAGAACAGCACATTCCAGGGCATATATACTGGACAATCCGGTACAACCAACCAATAAGGGCTTGTGGTTTAGTGGTACTATAATTCCTTTCCCTCTACATACCTAGTTTTTGCTTCCAAATACACCCACGCGCGTGACGCATATCGATGCAAATTCCTACGAGGCGCAGTAGGGGAGTTATCCTTGGAAGGTAGGAAGATGGGAAAGGGGTGTAGGGAAAGAAGCGCGGTAATAGTGTGGCAGGCCTTCTTCTTCTACTTAATGAAAAGGCGTTGTGCCTGGTAATTCTATTATATGCCTGAGCGTTGTGTAATCAGCTATGGACATCTTCGACGATGATATCGCAGCTCTGATTTTAAGGTAACGTGAACTTCCCAGCAGAGGAGTCAGTGGCTAAGTATGAGGAAATGGCCGTTAGTCAACTAACAGATGAATGGACAAAGTGAGTAGCAAATGGTTGCGTAGCTCGCTAGAATATTGACGGTTCGAAAAGATACGCAACTACGTACTCGTTGTCTGCACAGGATGAAGCATTCCAAACATCTCCTCGGATCGTTCAGATCAAAGGCTTCTTTTCTCATCGTGCAAATACTGCAACCCCACGGGTCGATGATGCTGAGCGGTAGTCGGTCCGGACTGCAATCAAAGACGGAGAACGACTTTTGCGAGTAGTGAAAGCCAGATCGGGTCATGTATACAACAGACCCGAGCAACTGGAACTGACCAACGTACGTACTTATATCTCTAAATACACCTTACCATAAAAGCTAACTCTTCACCTAAGCACTTGAGAAAGCTAGTCGAAGAAAAGAAACTCTCTACAAAGACAAGACCAAAGCCGCAGGCTCGGTGGGCAGACACGGCGGATATACTGACGTTCTATGGTGCTATCGCTTCGGTGACCATAATGGTGGCGCAGCATTGTGAAACGTTGATGAGGCATTAGGGGAGGCTAAATTTGACTAGCCTACGGCACAGTCGTGGCTATGGTCATCCAACTTGATCTGCGAACACGCGGCCATTCATCACTTGTAACATTTCACACATACCTGCCAACTTGTATGTCTTTACCGAAACATACTTCATTGTCATTCATTCGCCTGTTCGCGTTGTCTGTCTCGTCGCAGAACAAGCCCCCGAAGTCGTTCTTCTACAGATATTGAAATATGTTAGTTATTCCGCAGCCGGATGGAATGCTACTGGGAACAAATCTAATTGAACCAGCTCCGAAGTCATCGAGCGGAGGCCAACACTTGTGTTCTCGCAGAGACACCCGCAACCCCGTCGCATTCACTACGGCTGTCTTTCGTTTCAACATGGAGTACTCAGCGTCTGCCAAACAGCTTATCGATCTGTGCGAATACGGACCATATGAGCAGCTTGTGTCTGTGCTCCAAGATACATTGGCTATGAAGACTGTGCTGAGCACAGAGGTTCTCCAAGAAAACCCCCACTCGCGTTCCACAGAGGAGTTCCTTATTCTCGAACGTATGCTAGAAGCAGCAGTACGAGGTGAACAATTTGACCATATTGCCGCACTACTCGAACTCGGTCGGCAATATGGTATCGCTGTGCCTTACTTAGTCACTGCAAGGGTAGTTCTGGCGGCAATCGACCGACCTGACAGAACACTGGACCTCTTCCACGCGCTTGAGCGTGCACACTCTGATGTCTGGGCTATAACTCTGCCTATGGGTCGCCAGGTTATCGATCGTGCATGGACCACCGCGAAGCTCTTTCCCCAGGCACGTCTTTCTCTTCTACGCCATTTGTTGGCAAGAGGAATTGATCCTGAGCAGCTTGTCGGAAGGATGGAACCTGCACGCCATAGCCCCTTGTACCAAATGGTGTTCTGGGGTGCGCCTTGCGAAATGTTCGAATGCTTGCTAGAACATGGTGTTGTTATTACCCAGTCACGTGCACAGCGCGCTGCTGCGCGTCGTGGATGTATCGATATATTAGAGGTGTTGTTGCGACACGGAGCTAACTTAGACGAGCGTTTTGAGCGAGATTCTCTTTCTCCAGACGGTACAGCACTCCATGCAGCCGCTGCGGCTGGAACAACATCTACCGTCAAGTGGTTAGTTGCGAACGGAGCAGATACTACGCTTAGAAATTGCGACGAGGCAACGCCAGGGGATCTGTTACCTGTTGATTGCAATGAGGATATGGCGCAGTTGCTACACTGTAGGAAGTAGATGACTATTATTTTGCATGCAAAATGTTCCCAACCACTCAAGATTTTCGTATATAGTAGACACCGTCAATTCCCCGTGACCAAGACAAGGACCTTGGAGGTCACACTATGTCGAAAGACTTTCAACCATTTAGTTGTCGACATCAATTCACATGTGAAGCGTTCAAGCAATCGAAACCTTCCCTGTCTCTCTCGCTACTCTGCTCATTTCCCCGGAGAAATACCTGACCGCAGTCCAGTCAGCAGGCATGTCCAAGTTAGATAAGAAGGAGATCCATTACCGCTGAGTATGCCAACTCCATTCGTAATTCCCGCGGATATGGTCAGCAAGCACGCCGGTATACTCGATGATCTGCCAGTCTAGCTCAGGTCCCCACGAGGGGAACCCATCCTTATTGATCACCTTCTCGCGAAGCTCCCAAAAAAGAACAAGAACTTCTTCGTGTCGGTCAGAGATCCACTGTACAGCGCCACTGAGATCTGCGTGAAAGTGGACCATGACGGTCGTGATGGCGTTGTAATCCGAGTCGTTGGCAATCTTCTCCTTCCTATATGAGAAGAGGTCCTATATGCGTGATGTCAGCCGACCTATACAGGGAGGTTGGAGAAGTCAGGCGCACGTTGGTGAGAGTCATTAGATGAGAGACGCATGTCCTCATCCGCTCGAGAATCGGGTGTTCCATACACTCATGAGGAATGTTGAGTCTTGCGCATTGCTCACCGATAGCGTAACACGGCCAGGCCCCGATGTTGTTGACACGCTCGGCAAGATACTCCTCGGGGTGGAGTATGCGTTTCCGGTCGCGGTTCGCGGCTTGGCGAACGACTGAGTCGAGATACCCACGCCACGTGTGCTGGAATCGCTCCACGACGACCAGTGGCATGTCGCTAGACACGATCACCCAGAACCTGTACACTTAGCAGCCTTCTTAAATGGATGTGTTATCCGAATATGACAGTCTCAACGTACTGTCGAGTAACTTCACCCAGAATGTTCTCACCCTTGGGCCGGGGCTTGTGAGGATTCATGACAGCATCAACGCACATGTCACATCGTTCTTGCACTACATCCAGGGGCTCGTTGTCAGTCTGCTCCTCAATGACGAAGAAGGTATTCATCAAGTCGGCACAATCGCGCAGAGACTCTGTCGGTCGTATCAGCTGCGTGCAATGGGTTCAGAGGGACAAAGGTCTATCACGAACTGAACGAGCTCTCTGGTACGCGGTCAGGTTCCATAGCAAGAATAGCAACACATATTCTGGGTCTTCGTTGGGCTTTAGAAGAGGCCTACTCACTAAAAGTCTGTCAGTGTACGTACAAGATGAAGATGAAGCAGAGAAATGGATACTAGAAAACATGAATTACGTACCCAGGACAGAAAGCGGCAGCTAGGAAAGAGAAATCCATGCTGTTGTATATCGCTTGTTCCTTCGGGGAGATGTGTCGCAGGCTTCCTAACCATGCATCTGACTGAACCTTGACCTCTGCATAGTGTTTGTTCACACCATTATTCCAAGGAAGATTGCGTAGGAGATCAGGCATATAGAAGTATTCGGCCTCTTTGACCTCGTTAATTCCAAGGGGCTCAAGAGGAGCAACTTGAGCTTCGGCGACAAGAGCCATGTCAGAGAGTTCTTTGCGTCGGTTGGGACAGAAGAGAGAACTGATGAGTACAAGATTCTTTTACGACGAGCTGTCGAGTAGTGGTATTACCTAAATACTTTAGAAATCAACAATCTCTCCCATAAGTTTTGCCAGTTCATTGCTATCTCTATCATAGACCCGCACTCAAATCCTTCGACGACAAACACGGCAGCTCAAGAATCGATGTGCATACCCAAAGCTCACAACGGGTGCCGGCATGGGCAGAGGATTTTGGGCTACCTGTAGTTGGAAGGCGACGCGCGCCTTCATGGAAAGGACTGTTCGGCGATGATGTATTTAGCCTAAATATAAAATCAACTAGTCTCTCAAATCCCTCAACAATCAACTTCACTTTCTACGCACGCAAACTGAATCACATTCACATAGCATTGGCAGGAAATCGTTGTTGAGCACAGGGACCTGAGAAAAAAGGGTCCCGGTACGCAGCTCATGTTCGCGCGTGTGCAGGAGCTGGTGCGTGCGCTGGTTATCATCATCTCGGCTCTGACGCATCGGTTCGACGTCACGTAATGTCGGTGAACGTGTGGCTGATGTCAGGTGACCTGAGTCAGTGGAGCTCTCGACTTGGCAGGGACACTGAAGCAGCAAACCAACCCCCGACCGTTTAGTTGCAGTCTGGTCGGCCCGAGCAATCGAGGCTCAAAGATGCGGTTAGTTATTTTGGCACCGAAGTCGGTTCAACCAACGGAGAAGCGATCGATGTAGAAAGGACAGCCAAAACGCGAGCAATTGAAGCAGCAGTGCATGGATTACCGGATCGTACAGATTATTCTGCAGATTACTCTGCAAATGAAGACTATCAACAAAGGCATGACCGCCGGGTTCCACATCTCCCATCCACCATACATAGCCCGATCGTCGTTAGCTAAATGAATTGGGTGACTCACGGGAGGACGACAGCTCGGATACCTTTGGAGCCTTTGAGAGGCATTGGAATCATGAGATCGTGGTCGTATCTGACATCGTCGGCAGTGGTCTCGTATAATCTCATCTTCGGAAAGACGCGTAGAGTGAGCGCTGCCACTAAGAGGTTCAACTCGCAAATTGCAAGACTGTTTGGAAAAAGTAGGTCAGTGATCGATCAAACAGAAATATTACCATGGTAGGTAACGTACTTGATTCCCAAGCATATACGACTTCCCGCGGAGAAGCTTAAAATGTACTTTTCCAGATGCACATTCCTCTGCCTGTCTTTCGTGATCCAGCGTTCCGGTTTGAACTTGAACGGATCGGGAAAGTATTTAGGGTTGTGGTGCAGGATACGTGAGCTCTCTCCGATCGGAGTTCCCTTGGGTATGACATATTGGTATTGGCCGTCCTCCGATTTATAAACAAGGTCTTCGGTTCGGGCGATGCGCGGGGACCGCTGGGATATACCGTAGCCCATGCGCAGGCCCTCTTGAATCACGCCGTAGAGATACAGGTGCCCCTCGAGGTTCTGCCAGTCGAGGTGGAAGGGGTCAACGTCGCGCAAGTCATCCTCCAGTCGCTTTCGGATTTCAGGTTTCGTAAGGAGATGGTATGTAATAAAAGCGATGATGGCCTATAAATGACAAACACAACTTAGTCCATCTTCAGGATGCCAAAGGGTGTCACCTTACCGCGGTCGTCTCCATGCCCGCCGTAATGAATGAGAAGCCTTCTCCGGACAAACGAAAAATCGTTTTCTCGGAGTCGGGCATGTCGGACTCGATGAGATGAGAGAATACGCGCCCCTGGGTTTCGCCCTGTGTAGCCTCGCGGACATAACGGGGCATGTTGACGGTAAGTTCTTTGAAGAGATTGCCCATGTGCTCGGGTAGGTAGCTGCGTGTCGCGAATTTTCAGCGATTGCTTGCGCTTTGGATCCCAAAGCAGCGCTCATCGCGCCCATGGGAATGAAGATTGTCAAGTACGTACTCTTGGATGTATGGGGCGACATGGACCATCTGTCTGGTCCATGGTACGTATCTCAGGATGTACATCGACTGAGTAAAGCCCTCCAATGCCGCTCTGTGGTTCCTTTTCCAGCCATCTTGAGATATGAATCCGGCAGTCTCACCAAAGCAGTACTTTGTAATAGCATCGGCAGTGAAACAGCCATACGCCATGGTTAGGTTGATAGGCTCCCTCCACTTCAAGAGCTTTTCGATAAATTGCTGACACAGTTCGTGAATTTCGGGCTCCAGCTTCTTCATCTGAGTGCGCGAAAAGGACTTATTCGCTGCATTGCGGCGGGTACGGTGGATTTCGTGATATCTGGTGCCAAAACTCGAATACGCAAGCGCGCCGGCAGTGGGGTTCAAGAAATGCTGTTGCTTGTCACGGATGCGCCCTCCACCGGCGTAGATCTCCTCGATAAATTCCCCGTCGTCGCAGTGAAGCTCTTCGGGGTTGATACGCACAACTGGACCTAGTCATGATCATTAGCTCGGCTGACTCCAATTCTTTCATTGTGGTCAAAGGGGTCGCTGTAAAGCCACAATGAATAACGCATCAATGGTGGACATGCAAAGACGCACCGTATTTCTCATGCATTCGCTGAATCTCCCAGGTATACTTTCCCCCGCGGATACCTTCATACCAGAACTCGTAAAGAAACGTCATGGCCGCCAGCTTCGGGCCAGGAAATCGGGAGAGTGGGTGAAATGGCGAGATATTGTACAGCGCGAGAGTCACGCGATAGAGAAGCCAAAGCCCGGCGAGCCGCATCGTCGTCGACGTGGTGCTCGCCCAGAGATCTTGGGGCTTCCATCCCTCAGCGTCCATAGTCGCTTAGGTTGACTCGAGCGCTCCGTATAGTCAATTGTTACACGTTCACGCAATGCGTTGGCAGAACGACTTATCCCACTGAAAATCACCAATGTAAGAAACGCGGAGATCGATTAACCAAATCACATGTATAGGTCCTGGAGGAGAAGGAGGCAGAGAAGCTATGAGCTATCACGCTTGTAGGGGGCTGATATACTGTGATTGGCGCGCGCGGCCGGCTGAGACAGGGCCGTGTGCGAAATGGGTAAGACTGCAAGAAGCCTTTCGTTGCAGCCAATGGCGGGACTTGCCGTGACGGCCGCTGCCGCCTTCCATCCCAGAACGGAGGAGGTAGGATGGCAGGATGGCAGGATGATATCCGCAACGTGAAGGATGTGCTGCATCCTGCACTTGCGCACATCCACAGCAAAGGAGCCAATCAAAGGTCTCCTGACAATGCTAAGTGGCGTGTTATTGCCCGAAGACTCTAGGGTGTTATGCTATCGAGAGTGAACAAAGAATAGATCGACGCAATGGCTAGTGGCACGGTTGAACTTCCATCCCTTGCGGGTCCTCAATTGCGAGTTGCTTCACATCACCAAAGTCGATGCCAGATAGAGTAGAAGCGAGACCTTATGTAGCATTGAAAATAACGCTTCGTTGCAGAATGTGTCTCCCACGGGAAGGGGTGATAACCCTGCGCTCTCAGGCATTACCATGGTTAGTTATAACCCAGTTTGCTTTTTTTCTTCCTGTTGGTAGACGACGAGTCTAGCTTCTAAGCCTCTGGGTCCGTCATCTTCTCTGGATCGAGTATTGTCAAGTCTCGTCAACTCGCCCTATCAAGTTTCCTGTCAACCTTGGAAGTCTCCAACATGTAAAATAATCAATCAAATCTCAACTCTGCTACCGTAACATACCCGACGTTACAAGCTGACATTTACTGCCAAGAGAGGCGTATAAAAAATCGAGTCAGCTGGAGCTGATTTCCTTGCATAACTGTCCGAATGCGTTAATTGCAGGAAGCGCTGGCAGGCGTGCGAACCAACGTGCCTATGCCCTGTGCATTGAAGATCTGCAGAGGATCAGGGGGCAAGTCCTGGGAACGCATACCCATACTGAATATTGTGAGTAATTTTCAGTAGTGATTTTCGGAAGTCGAGGCTCGCTGGAAATACCTCCTGGAAGTCTTGAACGAAATTCTTATCGAGTTGAACCTATATAACTCTGCTATCAATATTCGAACGCCCACTCGTTTTGGAGCTTTTGGTGCCTTCTCCTTATCCACCCTTCCACTGATAAGGTCCTAACTGCTAAGCAGCACGGCATCATGGAGCAGGAGACCATCTACGTCCCGCCGACTCAAAGGGCCATCGACCATGTGATCTTGAACTCTGTCGGCATGGCTGTCGCCATGGGTGTGATCGGTTTGCGCCTCTCTGTTCGCCACTTTGGAATAGGCATTGGATGGGATGATGGGCTCATGGTGGTTGGATTTGTCAGTGTTCATGCCGCTACAATTTTTCAGTGCAGTGGACTCACACCTCAACTAGGTTATCGCGGCGGGATTCTTTGGAATCGTGTCGTCTTGTAAGTGTTGATTGATGGCTAGAGCTTCAAGAGCGAGCCTAACTTTTTTTTCATATAGGGATTACGCTTGGTATGGGTTACAATCTGGACCCAAACTCACCACTGTACCTCACTCGTAAGTCGTGCCCAAATGCACATGCCTCGTCTCGTTTGCGGCGGGATTCTCGCCTCCCGTTCATCGATTTGGGCCACGGAAGTTGACGAATTCCAGTCATGAACAACCTTCCTTCGATTTACAAGGTACGCCGATCTGTCAACGACCAGCTTGTACGAGCAAACACTAACCTTCATACCTGAGCAGGGACTGCTTGTTGCGCAAGTCCTCTACGTCACGTCACTCACAGCCATGAAATTGAGTGTCCTAATGTTTTACCTTCGCATCTTCACCGTGCGCATACTGCAGATCGCAACCAAGATCTTTATTGGAGTTATCATCTGTTGGGGTGTCGCCTTCATCCTGTACATGCTTTTGGTTTGCCGGCCCATTGAGGCGAACTGGATCTTCACAATGACTCCTACCCACTGCGGCGACCAAATCGCCATGTACACCTCTTTAATCACGCTCAACATGATCACCGACTTTTTCATCATGGTGTTCCCGCTTTACACCATTTGGAACTTGCAGATGCGAACAGCCGAAAAGCTCGCCCTTACCATATCGTTCTGTCTTGGATTTACGTAAGTACCATACCATACATGGTCCACATTTGTATGTGCCTAACGGGTCACTCCAGTGTCATCGCCCTCGGTGCCGTCCGCCTGCATGCGCTCTATGATTTGGCATTGGCAGCCAACCTGACCGGAACCGTCGAGCAGACGGTGTTTCTCGCGACGATGGAGCTGTGGTTCAACTCTCTGGCACTCAGCATCCCCACTCTCCGGCCCTTGTACAGGCAGCTGCGAGAAAAGTGGTCTGGCTCGAATATCGATCGTTCCGGAGCCAACAGCTATATGCCCAACACCAGCGACCCGTTGAGCAGAAGGTCCAAGCGCAACGGCGCGTTCACAAACGCCACGGCGACGTATCTGGAGATGGACGACTGCGAGTCGCTCAAAGACAAGAGCGGGGCGGATGACGGCGTCGTCGGACACTCCCCTCAGGTGGACGATGCGAGCTCTGAGAAGAACTTGACAAACAACCCGAACAAGATCAAAGTCACGACACGGTGGACAATTTCGCACAACTCATGATTCTCGGGGATGCTGCTCAGGAAGTTTGGGGTCTCATTAGATGGCTTATTACGGCTGCTACGTCGCACCATAATTACGAGAAGACAGCGTCAGCGGTAGCGACCAATGGCCTCGGCCTGAATGAGTTCCATCCGCTTGTACTCCTTCAGTGTTAAAATGATGATCCCCGATTCTTGTAACCAAGGATGTTGTTGATGTAACAATGGATATTTATTCGTTCATTGCTGGGGAAGTAGGGTAGAATTTGTATAATATTCCTTGCCGTGACACAGTCACATAACCGAGCGTCGTTATGAATATCGCTATAGATTGTGACGCTTGTGTGTAAGGAATATTCGAATTGGAAATACTGCACTAACACGCGTGAGAGAGCTGCAATCTGCTGCAACGCTTGCAGGCCGGAGGTAGAGCGCGTAACATTTTGTAAAGTGATGAATCGATTTGACACTTGTTCTGTTCTGCGGTTAGTCTGTCGCCTATCTGAAAGGCCGGGACTGCTCTTAGTGTTGGTTGTAATATTGGAGGGATATTTAATCGATTCAAGCCTGATTGAGGCTCCTTTCGAGTAGATATTAAGAGACCGTTTGCAGCATGAAGTACACCTAGTGCATCACGAAGGTCTGCGTGGTTAGGGCACATATCCAACACCTAGTTTTCCAATTCTCCGAGACCGAGGATTGGCGTCACCCTCAGCCGCCAGACCTTCAAGTATTCTTCACGGATGGAAACACATACGTGGACCAGTACTAATGTCTGAATGTGCTTTTTAGACTTATAGTACTTTGTCACGGTGAATCTAGGTTCATAGAGGGCGAGGATCGTATTATAGATAAGGCTTTGGAGTTCTGGGCATGGTTAGGGGATCTCAACTAAAGGAAGAACATAAAGCTAACCTGGAGGTAGACTCGACCACATATTATCGTTTGCGAAAAGAATGCCCCCACCCGACTATGGTACAGATCCCCAACTTTTATCAATTGTATGATACATTCACTCTATTACTGGCTACATCTTGTTGAATGCTAGCTAGATCTGGTTGTAGTAGACGTCAAAATAGGGCACTAAGCTATCAAAATAGGTGTACTAACGCATTTCAACTAATCATTAAGTAGATATATACTATAAGTAATACAATTAATTAAAATAGGGAGCTGTACCATGGTAGGGGTGGGGGCATTCTTTTCGCAAAGCACCGATAAGGCCAGCCGTTGCTTAGAATAGGAGAAGAACCTGTGAACTTAGTTGTTGGGTTGATAGAAGTGCTGACTATATGGTATTCGCATCGCGTTATTGCTGCGCTTTCAGTGGGGTGACCGGTTCTGGAGAGCATCTAAGCATTAATTTTTAAGAGCGCTGTCTCTACAGCGAGCGGTTGAGTTGCAGGTGACTAGGCTACAACGTCAAGATACTACGCCATGCTATCCACTACAAAGGTGCCCCAACGGTATTTGATACATCGATTGAACGTCTGACTGCATTTGACATTTGCTAAACTCAATCGCATTTGTAGCTCATGGTCTTCTGCATTTCGAATTGCGGTTTCCGTTCCTAGTCGCTCCGTATTCCCATGAACTTTAGGCCCAAGGCTTCTAGCAGTGTCCTATCACGTGCCAGTCACTTGAAAATGCAAGCGCGTGGCGAGGCTCAGCCATGCCACTCGTGAGCGAGGCGAATCTGGGTCTCTCGCCATACCTACGGGTGTGGGTTAAAGCTAGCGATCTACTTTTCACGTGATTGAGAAGCCCTTTGACTGCCCTGACCTGCACATCTCGAATGCTGAATGACAAAAGTCTTGATAAAATACGGTTGTCAAAAGTGCGTGGCAGTGGATTCGAGAAGTGACATACCACTTCTGATTTTTCGGAAAAGATATTAAGGTCTAGGTTTCAGTTGACGCTGGCTTTGCGCGTTGACGCTGCGGGTGGGACCACGACCACGGCACGCAGATACCCATCATCTTATCATTAACGCTAGTGCAGTATACCTCCAGACTCCATTTTTCGACTCTCCACTATCTCTCTAACGTTCGAATAGCACAATTCAAAGGATATTAACACACAAAGTGAAAAATTAGTCATTAACCAAATAACGGGCTTATAGTTTAGTAGTACTTTAAGCGCGTTTTACCTTTTAAGATAGTTTAGAGTTAATAGTAAGGATGCTAAGATTTAAAGATATAAGCGCCTAGCGCTTACTTTTAGTATATAATAATCTAATTCCTACTTCCTAAAAGAGAAATTGCGTAAGTAATACCTAAGATATAATTATAGATTTCTAAAACTATAAGCTTAGGTACCTAGTAGTATAAGGTAAGTAGGCGTATCTATATAGCTAATATACTTACTATTCTCTAGTTTATTCTATCCCTTTCTTAAGCTCTATAATAAAGTTCTAAACTACCTTACTTATCTAATTAAGATAATAGTCTACTTTAATAACCTTACGGCCTCTAACGTAGAAGTTTTAAATACTATCTTACTTTAAGATATAGTAGAGGACTATAAAAAGAATAGTATTAAATAAATACTTAAATAGTAGAAAGTATATATAGCTAGAAAAGCCTTATATAATTATTCTCTTATATATATAAAGATATGTATTACGGCTACTACGCCGTAATAGAATTATGGGACTTACGTTAATAATAGTAGTAACTAATTAGATTATATAGGAGAAGAATATAATTATAGGTTAGATACTAAGTATAATATAGGTATGTAAGGAAGTTACGTAATTAGATCTATAGATTTATAGAATAGAGCTATAGAGCCTAGATCTATAGAATCTATAGGTAGAGCCTATAGAGTTATTATTAAATAGTAGTATATAGAGATAATAGATTACTACTAGGTAAGCCTTTATTATTAATCTATAATATAGTTCTCTATATCTAGTTTCCTTATAGAAGATTACTATTAAGTCTTTAGTAATATATTCTTATAGTAGTAATTAATTAACGTTTACACTATATATAATCTATACTACCCTACACGCTACTTATCTCTTACTAGAACCCTAATAGGGCCACGGCTAGTAATAGAGTCCTAGAGGTCCTATTATAATATACTAAATACCTCCCTTTACTAGTAAAAGAAATTAAAGCTATTACTCCTTTTAGTTAACCTCTATAGATAAAATAGGTTAAGAACTACTTTATTATAAGAGTTAGAACTAGAAACGTAAAGCTAGGTATATATATTATACTAAGTACTCTAAGAAAGGAGCTTAAGTAGTTATACTATATACTTTACCTTAAATATAATTTTAAATAGAGTAATAAAGATATTATAGAGTTAAAAAGGGTATTATAAAGAAACTTCTTAAGAATAACTATATACTAATAGGTTACTTAGCATATTAGGAGTCTTATAAAGATAGAAGGTACTTATATTACTATAAGGCCTAAGACTATAGCGTATACACTTAATATAGATAAGATCTAATTCTATATCTAAAACTATAGTAAGTATATATATATATATCTATAAACTATAGTATAGCTCTTCTTTTAGCTTAATATTATTTCTATATAGGGCCTATAGATGGGTAAGATTACTAAATCCTTAAGTTATTAAAAGTCTAATAAAGGTTTTTACTATAGGGATATCTCCTTAAGCCTTATATAGTAGGAGGATTAATTACGCTATAAAATATATATTAATCTAAGAATTATAAGTTTTATAGAAATAATAAAAGTAAAGTATTAGTCTAAGATACTTATATATATTTTTATACACTAATATAAGTTACTAGAAAATAAATCCCTTTAAAAGAAGAGATAGACCCTAAGCTATATTTAAGATATTCTATTTAAAAGTTTCTTACCCTAGTCCTTACTAATAACGTCTTTATTAGGTATAAAACTCTAGAGGACTTTAAAAATTACTCTATCTATACTATAGTAGGTTCTTATCCTATTAGAATTTAGGAGAATAAAAAGTACCTACTAATCTTTTATAAGCTTTAAAGTAAAGGTATTTTAGAAACCTCTATTATAAGCTCTACTTTAGCTAGTATACTTCTTAAGTAGGTATATTAGGAATACGGTTATATAGAGCTAGTTATAATATATATATTCTAATAAGGCGTTATAAATAATATAGAAGGTAAGTATATCTTATACTAAGAAAAGAAATCTACTAATATAACTATCTTAAAGTAAAAGTAAGCTAGAAAGGAACTAAAGAAATACTAGAATATAAAAATAATTATATATAGTACGCCTATAGTATACCTATAATAGGTGTTAATACTTAAGTAATTATATATAGTTAGCTAGAAGATAAAACTACTACTTAATATTTATAGAGTATCTTCTATACCTAAGACTATACTACTTTAAAACTAGTAAACTCTAGACTTAGGGCTTAAGCTATACCTTCTTATACTATTATAAATATAATTAGAAGTTCTAATCTAAAGGATAAGCTAAAGGAGATTTTAAGAAAGGTATACTATAAGTAACTAGAACTTAATTAGAGGAAATTCCTTAAAAAGGTAAAGAGTAAGGTATATATAATAGTACTTTAGACTAACTCTACTACTAAACCTTCTATAGAAAATACTACTATAAGTTTAATAAAAATAGTTTAAGTCTACGTCTAACCCTATAACGGGGCCTCTAGGACTCTGTCACTAGCCGCGGCCTAGTTAGGGTTCTAGTAAGAGATAAGTAGCGTATAGGGTTATATAGATTATATAGGGTGTAAACGTTAATTAATTACTACTATAAGAGTGTGTTACTAAAGACTTAAGAGTAATCTTCTGTAAGGAAACTAGATATAGAGAACTATATCGTGGATTAATAATAAAGGCTTACCTAGTGGTAATCCGTTATCTCTATATACTGCTATCTAATAATGGCTCTATAGGCTCTATTTGCAGATTCTTATAGATCCACAGATCCTGGCTCTATGGCTCTATATCCTTAGCATCTATAGATTTACAGATCCAATTACGTGACCTCCTTACATGCCTATATTATACTTAGCATCTAACCC